CCGAGGTGTAATCTACTCGCCACGAGCGAGTAGATTACACTATTTGTCAAGCCCTGTATATATAGATATAGATATAGATTATAGATGTTGTGACAGAGCAGGTTAAAGGACTTGGGGGAAGGCGAGAGAAGCTGCTCAAGCAGAGGAAACAGCAGCAATCCTGGCTAATTAGGGGCAGCTGATAAAGGGCCGCTGCAAATCAATTAAAGGCCAGATGAAGCTGATTGGGCATGATCATGATCATGGGCATGGGCATGGAGAGGAGGAAAACAACCCAGCGTTAAGAAGACTCAGTGTGGAGGAGCAGGAGGAACCACTAGCCCTGCTAAAGGCTACAGGGGGAGGTGAGGAGTTGAGCAGGGGATGTTGGAGGGCTCCCTTACCCCCTCCCAGCCTTCGGGGCAAGAAGGCGGCTTTCTGGTCAGCTGTGACTGGCCCAGGGCTTCAGCCCAATACAACATCCTTTATGCTAAGGGCCAGGAAGGCCCAGGGACAAAAACTCAGCAGGTGAGGGCCCTGCTGCAGCCCTCAAAGTGTGGGACAGTGGACAGACCAGTGGTCAGGATCTCAGGAAGGAGACTGACCCTGCCACAATATATATATATCCCCTGCACCCTGAAGCCATCCAAATCTCACACTTCTATAGCAAAATAGCTGTTAGCTGATCAAGGCAACCATCAGCACCATCATAAGAGTTAGCATTATTTTTTCCAAATAAGATGTTCAATCAGTGCTCATTTCAGACTTGCAGTTCAGTCCATGTTCTTTAACAGCTTTGTTAGAGTTTGCAGATTTGAGGGAAAATGCTTTTAACCAAATATTGCAGAACTGATCTGAAACATTTTGATTATTTTATACTAAGGTTGAACAATACATAAATTAGAACATATACAAAAAGCATTTACTCATAGTTATACTAAATTGTTTTATTGTAGGGTGAACCTGGAAAAAAAGGCTCAGATGGTAGCCCTGGACCATCCATTCGTGGACTGCCTGGACCAAAGGTAAATCATCTGAGGTTTGTCTGATGGAGCCAGGATATTGAATGTTTTGAACTAGGTGGCACTTACAAGATTCTATTCAAGTTAACAGAGCTAAAGCTGCAATGTTAGTGATTAAAAAAAACCTAGCCCAATTAGTTTAATACAGATATTGTGCCTGTCTTCTTTCATATTGTGGAGAATAACTGCTTTGCTGTTTCACTGAAAGCACATTTTGCTAGAGCGACCCAAAATGGCCCTGTAAAAGCTGGAACTTCACATGTGTACTGAAAAAGCTAAAAGGTTTAATTTTAGCCTTTTGCAATACAATGCCGCCCACCATCTCAGCAGGGGAAGAGGATGATTGATTAGCCCTGCAAGGAAAAAAACATTAGACCTCTGGGGTTGTGGGAGAAGGGGTGGAAGGGTATGTTTACATTACAGCGCCAGTCTGGTCCTGGGAAAAGGTGGAGGGCTGGGTGGCAGCAGATGGCTGGCTCATCTCATGCCAGGTGCAGGATCTGCTAGCTGGATGCTGGCAGGCTTGCAACTGGCACAAGCATGGTAGGGCAACCTGGGAAGGGCTAGCCTCCAGCTAGTTCAAATTAAGTGGCTACACAGCCCTTAATTCGAATTAGGCGTTACTCCTCATAGAATGAGGTTTACCTAGTTCAGATTAAGCGCTCCGCTATTTTGAATTTAAAGGCTGTTAGTTCGAATTCACTTTGTAGTGTAGACATACCCGAAGGGAGGAATGGGCTTCGCTTTTTGGGGCTCTGACAGACTTTCCCCCTCCTATCCTACATCTCACACTGAGGGGCAAAAGATTCTCCATTGCTCCCTGCTACCATTGGATAGACTATGGGAAAAGGGACAAAGGAGAAGTGATTGTCTTAACTCCTCCTCTATATTAAGCTTTGAGGGCATGCAGATGCAATTTTTCTTTCACTGTTGCCCTATCTGATAATGGAGGTATAGTTTGAACTGTTTCCAAGATTCTGTGGGTGTGAGCAATTGCCAGTGTGAGAACGGGAAGGAACTTTTCCTTTGGGGCAAGAACATCAAGGTGTCAGAGCCTTACTTGCAGCATCCTGGAGACCTAGTTGTAAGTTATTAAAGACAGAAACTAGGAATAAAGGTTTTCACTGCAATTTGTGGTTAGAGCCCAGCTTAGGTGAGAAGCTCAAAGAGGTCAGTTCCCATAGGTAAACATGAGGGAGGGTCCCCCCAGAAGATAGTTGGTGGACCCTATTACTTTGGAAGAAGAGGAGCTCTCTCCGACTTTCTTCTTCATGTACCCTCACTCCCCTTATGGTATGTGGGTGGGACTGGGGAGAGTCTGGAGAGGGTAAGACGATTCAGAGGAGGGGTAACTCCTAATATGTGAGCTGAAGGGGGGGGGTTGTCAATCCTGAATAGTAATTTTGTATTGAGGCCATTTAATATCACACTGGAACCAAACACATACCTGATAATATAATTTAGGGCCATTTATATCCTGCTTTCTTCCATCCTTGATCAACATAAGAGCCTCCACTGTGACTGTGGTGTCTTGTCTTTTGTTAATTTGTCATTCTTTGACTGGACTGGGGTGTACTACAAATCCCAAGATTCTAGCCCTGCTGCAGATGATAGGAATGAAGATATGGCTTTCCAAATTTCTTTCCTCCCTCCTCTACTTCAAACAGGCACTGCCATCTATATTTACAATGAGTGAGGAGAATTCCTGTTATCATTCCCAGGGTGGAAAGGAAAGATATTGGGCTAGGAAGGCAGGCTAGACTATGCAACACTGAAGGATTATTTTCGTTTTTGTATGTGCAGAGTCAAATCCTGGGGTTCTTATTGATTTTTTTTCTCCTCTCAAACAAAACTCCCATTCAGCTCAGTTGCATGGTCCCGCTGCTAAACCTATTGAAATCATTCTACTGATTTTATTTGAATCAGGCCCTCCGTTAGTGATGTGATATGACAAAACAAATTGTTTATGAAAACTGTAAACACCAAGTTACTCTTTTAGGAAGAACTTTCTAAGAAATGGACAAACCTTTTTCTCATGGTTAGTCCATCACTTAGATAAATGTCTTTCTAGGCCAGCCACTATTTCTCTGTGGTATATTGGAATGGATAGAAATCCAATTGGGACGACTTCTTTGGCAAGCACAATGCTTAGTAATTCTATCCTAGAAGCTTCTAATCATTCTGCCATAATGAAGTCAGGTGAAATAGTTTCCAACATAGTTTGCATATCATCAAATCTGCGAGCGTCTCAGTCTCTCGGAAGTCATCCCAGTTTTTGTGTTAGCCATTGTTGGCAACTGTTGTGTGTCAAATACTTAGTCAGATTTAGTAGTATTTATAGGACACTTAATTTGGAACCAGAAAGCTATGAACACAGTTCTTACTGTCTCTTGGCAAAGAAAGTCTCCTGCCTCATTTATGCGAGCAACAAATCTTGTAGGAATGTTGCTTGAGCTCCTAATGGTGCTTTTCATGGTATTGATAATTTTCAGCAGAAAGTTTGCAATTTAAGATCTTTACAAGATCCCCCCAAAATGGGGGGAATATATATTGGGGTGGACAATTAAAGAGTTGTGGTTCTCTACTGGCCACTTTTTGGGAAATACTGACCCTCCTATAGGGCATCTGGCAGGAGAGAGGTTTTCCCATCTTGTACCAACACAACAGCTTTTTGTGTTGTGGAGATCAGAAATGAGATAGAAAGAGCTTTTCCTAAAATATTTGTCGCTTAATGTGCAGACCTTCAGTTACTGTCATTTTGGTGTCAAAATTGAATAAATATGTGAAGCTGGTACTTTTCTGTAAAACCTAGAGTGAAGACAGTAAATAATCAAGGTTTTGTTTTTTTCATTTAGGGGGAGCCGGGAGAAACTGGACTAAAAGGAAGTGATGGAAATCCCGGAGATTCAATAATGGGACCAATGGTAGATAGCATGTTTCTTCATTTCATGTTTGGCTGAGAAGAAATATTAACCATTTCAATGAAAAAACAGTTTGAATGGTTTTGAAAAAATCCAACTGGATGATACTTCAAATCCATCATTTCAAACTGAATCTAGCTATTTAATAAGTTTCTGACAAGTTTGCTTGAGAAATGCAAAGCAGATACCTGGCTCTGTGTTATCAGTACAAGAGATCCCTTTTCTGTACAAAGTTAGCCCCTAATTTTTTTCCACTTCTCATTCTTTCCCTTGGTGTTTGTTCCATTCCATTTTAGCCTGACTGTACTTCGGGCTTGTGACAAGAGTCAAACAGTTATAGTTGTGGCAATTAGCCAGGATGGGTAGGGATTGGGTTCTTAGCCTCTGTTTGCAAGAAGCTGGGAATGGGTCACAGGGTTGAATCATTACATGATTACAGAAGACAGGGTAATGGGCTAGATGGAGTTTTCATCTGACTCAGTATGGTCGTTCTTATGCTGCAATTGTGAGCAACCAAAAAGTCATGAGGTTTTGGGGTTTTTTGTAATTCAAACTAGGTATTAGCTCTTGCCCCCTTCATTGCCCCTTTCCATCAGTTGCTTACATTGCATTCCCTCTCTCATTCTGTAACTTGGGATTCTCCCTTTTCATGATTTGGTCCCTGGGCCAGGACACTACTAGTTCCACTGTTTGTCAGTAACAAAGTCCTGCTGGACAAATGGTCCAGATGTTGCCTTAGATAATTGGATATTCCATACCTAGGTCTTGTGACACTTTCTCAGTGGCTGGTAGGGGAATCCAGGCCCACCCAATACTCCAGGTTACAGTCCAGGGGCCCTATGATTAGTAGCATACATCTGCTCAGTCTCAGACCTTGTTGCTATTTCCCTCAGCTCCCTGCTACTCCACCTCTCCATCTCATTGTCTATCTCTGGGTTTACCACGAGAGATTCCTTTGTTCCCAGTGACTAGCTCACCCTTCTCAGCCTCTTGTCCATCTTCTCAGTCCAGGGCAGGGTCCCAAGGCTTACTGTCCCCTGTCAGAATCTCTCCCTTGCCAACTCCCTTGCCCTCTAAGGAGTGACTGTAGACCTTCTCCCTGCAGCCTTCTTTTTATTCTCTCTCCCTTTGCAGCATAGCATACTCCCTTCCTGATTCTATGACTACTATGCATCCATGTCTTTCCTGATATTCTTCAAGTCTTGCAGAAGAGCTATTTTTATTGGGCCCTCTTTTCCTTGGATTATTGATAGACACTGCAAGAAAAATGTTACCCTTTTAAGACCTCTTAGTGTTCTGTACAAAGCTTGCCTTCCTGGGAATTGGGCTTACAATTCCAAAGGACATGATCTATCATTTCCTGAACATCACATGTTACAAATAATTCATCTTTGTGTATGTTAATTATAAAAAAAAGTAGTTAATCCACAATGCCCTGTTAGAATTCTAAATAGAGCCCCTTCACCATTCCTCTCAGGATCTTGGAATATATCAACATTTTAAACTGTTGAGCATGCCTCTTGCATTTTTCCTTTTGCTCTGTTGCCCCAGGTTGTGCCATTTCCTCCTTTAGCTCATTTTTTATTAAGAGTTTAAATTTCAGTTTCCTTAAGGGGATTCCTTGGTCAGCTTATTTGTCTTTATTAGCACTTTGCCTGCTCATCCCTTAATTCATTGCCTGCTATCTCGGCATGCCCCAGAATCCAAGCTATTATATCCAGTTGCATCAGTTCTGTTAGCAGTAATATTTCATCAAGAACAATATTCCTGTTACAGACTGGCTCAGCTTTCCCTTTGAAACTGATCTACCCACTGCCTCTTCCCCCGCTGTCCTCCCTCCCCGTCCTTCCCTCATTTAGTCTTGGTTCTGGATATCCAACAGTCCAGTCATCTGAAGAAGTGGGCTTTGCCCATGAATGCTCATGATGCCATCTACCTGTTTTATTAGTCTTTTAAATTGCTACCAGACTATTTGTTGTTGTTTTTAATTTTTCCTGTTGCAGACTGTCACGAGTCGGGCTACCCCTCAGGCTTACAACCTATTCATCATTGTGGCTAGCTGCCCGTGTACCTTTCCCTCACTCGTGCTCCCCGTACCCCAGTCCCGCTTTATGGCTAAGTTCATGGCTCCGCAGGTAGCGCACTTAGTCTCAACCTCGTCGATGAGGTGCCTCTTGCTGTGAGGTGGGAGGGGGACTCAGGGGAACTCGGGCCCACCCCCACTCTGAGACCCGACCCAGGACCCTTAAAGGCAGTGGCATCCTAGTGCCGCTCGGTTGGTGGGGCGTTCCCCGAAACTCACCAACACACGGGGAGGGTTTGTTCCCCATCCTGGGTCACTTCCTCCTGGTCCTCCATGTCTGTTCCAGCTCCCAAGCTGCCTCGCCCTGGTCCTCCCGGCATTCTCTCCTGGGCTCACCTCTCTTCCCCTCTTCTTTCCTGTTCCGGGTGTCTTTTGAAAGGCCTGCTCCTCCTGGCCCCGCCCCCTTCCCGGGGCACGGGGTGATGACGTCAGCCGTGGGGAAGCCCTGTCTGAGACGTCCCGGCCCCCGGCTGCCCTGGTACAACCTGGGCATGTGTGCCAAGGCGCAGCCCGTACCTGGCACTGTGCCCCGAGCCCGGCTCTTTCCGTACCCCAGTCCTGGCTGGAGCGGTGTCCTCCTCGCCGGAGGCTTCCCCACCTTTGGCTGGACGGAGAGTGTGGGGTGATGTGTGCTTCTCCGCGCAGGAGCCCAGTGCCCCGTTTCCCAAATTTTTGGACTGACCGCTCCACCTCATTGAAAACGATTGTTCATCCCGCTATAGTCAGATATTTACAGATGGCTCCCAAAAGGAGAGTCAGAAAAGCTTTTTGTAGGCCCTCACTCAGACTAAAAAAAAAAATCCAGAAAACTAACTTTGCATCCATTGTCTCAGCTGAGCTAACAGGGACTATGTTAGCAGTAAACTGGGCTTTGGAAGGGTGATCAGCTGCCATGGCCATCCTCTTTGACGCCTTATCAGGGCTACAGGCAATTTACAGTAGCAAGTCTGACAGCAGAAATATTTCAGAGGGATAATTGAGTTAGTCTGGGTATGTCTGCACTACCACCCTAGTTCGAACTAGGGTGGTAGTGCAGACATACCCAGACTAACTCAATTATCCCTCTGAAATATTTCTGCTGTCAGACTTGCTACTGTAAATTGCCTGTAGCCCTGATAAGGCGTCAAAGAGGATGGCCATGGCAGCTGATCACCCTTCCAAAGCCCAGTTTACTGCTAACATAGTCCCTGTTAGCTCAGCTGAGACAATGGATGCAAAGTTAGTTTTCTGGATTTTTTTTTTTAGTCTGAGTGAGGGCCTACAAAAAGCTTTTCTGACTCTCCTTTTGGGAGCCATCTGTAAATATCTGACTATAGCGGGATGAACAATCGTTTTCAATGAGGTGGAGCGGTCAGTCCAAAAATTTGGGAAGTGACCAAGGGCCGCACTTTTCCATGATATTAATGTAGGAGGTGCGGGGTCGTAGGGAATTGGAGTGCAGGAGGGGGTGTGGGTTTCTTTGGGAGGGAGTTTGGGTTCAGAAGGGGGTTGTAACCTGGGCATGGGTGCAGAGGGTTTGGGTGCAGGAGGGGGTTGTATCCTGGAACAAAGGGCTGGGATGTGGGAGGGAGTGGGGTGCCAGGTGCAGGCTCTGGCCAGGAGATGCTTATCATAAGTGACTCCTAGCTGGTGTCCCAACAGGACCCTCAGGCAGACTCCCCGGCTGCTGCAGCTCCACATGCAGCTCACAGCAGCTAACTGTTGGGGCCAGTGTGTATGTCTCTGTGCTTCATGCCCTTTACAGGGAGGGGAACAGTGGGTCCTTGTGTGCTGCATGTGCGCACAAGCATTGTCTTTGCAGCTTCCATTGGCTGGTTTCTGGCCAACGGGAGGCTGCAAGGATGATGCTGGGGGTTGGGCACAGAGGCCCTACTCCAAAGGGAACACACCACACAAACCCACACGCTGGTCCCAGCAGCTGGCTACTTTGAGAAGTGTGTGGGGATGTTGCAAGCAGGAGGCCTGCCTAAGTCCCACTGGAATGTTTGGCAGGCTGGACCTGGCCCATGGACCATATTTTGCCTACTCGTGGGCTATAGTGTCCCCACTTACCACATACATATTGATTTGCTATATCTTGTATATGTAACAATCTTTTCCTATTTATTTCATTATATAATTCCATGTCTATCTCAAGGTGAATAGTTTACCAGTGACTGAATATTTTCCCATAGTTATAGCTTTTGGTCTCTTTCAATCCTTTCTTTTCGTTTGCAATTCAATATATGTTAGAAGAAGCTTTCCCTATTATGGCTTAAGAACATAAGAATGGCCACATTAAGTCAGCCCCATGGTCCTTCTAGCTCGGTATTCTGTCTTCCAAGAGTGGTTGGTGCTAGAGGCTTCAGAGCATATGAATATAAAAGAGCAATTGAGTGATCCACATCTTATCATCCATCCACAGCTTCTGGCAGTCAGAAGTTATGGGATACTCAGAGCATGGGGTTGCATTCCTGACTATCTTGGGTAATAGCCATTGATTAAACTTACCCTTCATAAACTTATCTAATTCTTGTTTTACCCCAGTTATACTGTGTCCTTCACCTCATTCCCTCAATGAATTCCATAAATTGACTGATTTTTCTGTGATGAAGTACTGCCTTATGTTTGTTTTTAAACCTACTGTCTATTAATTTAATTGGGTAGCCCCCTAGTCCTTGTTTTATAGGAACACCTTATTTACTTTTTTCCATCCCATTCATAATTATAGAGATCTCTATCATATCCCACTCCAATTAGTCATCTCTTTTCTAAGATGAACATCTCTTTTCTTTTTAAATCCTTCCTCCTATGGAAGTTGTTCCATTCCCCTAATAATTTTTGTCTCTGTACTTTTTCCCATTCTAATATCTTTGAGACCGGGCAACCAGAACTCAAGCATTCAAGATGTAGGCATACCATGGATTTCTATAGTGGCATT